TGAAATATGCAAACAAGCTCGTTTTTCATATATACTGGTGGTTAAAAAGATAAAAAAAAAAAAATCTCGTCCAACAGATTGCACGGAAAGGAAAGACTATGGTGGAGTAAAGATATAAACTTTCAAGGAACTGTCTCCGTGTGACCATCGCAAACACAAGTAAAACGAGGTGTGCCATAGGAATTATAGGCAAAACAGAGGCTCGCTCTAGACAATCGACGAACAAGTTGATGGTAATTGAAAGCCAAGTTCAAGCAAAGAAGAGGTTTTAATGACAGGAAGAATGTCCCACTCCAAGAGAATTCTACGTACTGTTGAAAGAGCTTACGAACTAAGGATGCCGAAGTTCTGCTGACTGTCCTCAAGGTGAGCTCTTGTTTTGAATATTCTCAAACAGTATACATCTCTTATATGTCCATCATACATGCTTACACACACACAGACCACATGCACACACAGACGCACACGCACACAACATACAGAAATACACACACTCATTATATACACATATATATGTATATGTGTATATATGCTGGTATATGTATTATAAACATATCATACAATATATAGATATACGTACATATATATCTATACATATATGCATATATAGTATATACTATCTACGTGTATATATATATACATATATATATTAAAGTATAGTTGTATAAAGATACAAAAATTTTCCACACACACGCACGAGAATACATATATAGGTATGTTTGTGTACATAGTATATAGTACACAGTCACATGAATTTCGTGACACACGCAAAACACATCTCATGTGTATGCATGTAATATTATTTCATATATTATAGTTTATATATAAATTATATATGTATATTACATATATCACATATATTTCATTATATCTTACATATAATATATATATTTATATAAATATATGTGTGTGCGTTTGTGTCTGTGTGAAATATAAACATTTATATATAACTATGCTTAAAAAGGTATCCATTAGATGATATAGGAATGCCAAATACAGATCTCACCTCAGACACCCCAAACCGACTTCCCTCGCTGGAATTCCACGAGGAACATTTTCGCATTTCGCCGTTATTCCCAGAAGAGACCTGACTGTTAGTTGTCCATATTTGGAGAAAACCTTTTCCATTGTGGGAAGGAAAACAGACGGCAGTCAAACGACAAGGAAAAGTCAAGCCTTGTCACTCACGAGGTACACAAGAACACACTGGATTACGAGTCGCAGTAGATCAAGGTACAAAAATGTATATTTGGTCTGTGTGTATCCAGTGGAATATCGAGGATCTTGGATTATCTCCGTAGAGTAAGTGGGGAATGATTCGTAAATCCCATCTCAAACAGAGTGCGATGACCGCATTCTGAGAAGTGAATAGCACTCATGCAAATAAAGATAATGGATGAAGATGAAGTCTGACGGAGGGAGGGGGGCAAGGCCTGGGTGTGCAGTCTGGGAGATTAGGGCCTCACCTCCAGGACCAAGACCAGAGCACAGGACGCAAACTGACCGTCGTGAGACATTTTCCAGTCGTACGTTGCTATATTCCTATGTTATGAAATCTCTATATGTTGATTCGAATGATATATATCAATATCCTTTACACCTACATTATTTAATTTTTCCCCAGGTATATGTTTGGACAAAGGAGATATAACTCCAGCCTTACTCTCGTTGTTCTGCCATGATATTGAATGGTAATAAGGCTATAAAATGGAATGGCAATCTAGGAAAAGGTAGGGCTCTTACTGACAGAATGAAAGAGACGAACGAATAAAAAAACGCGGGTATCGTTGATTATAAACTTTACAAATGGCTATGTCATAAAAGCGTATGACAAGGTATAGAAGAGATAGAGAGGGAGGAATGGATCGTTCAAAGCTAATTTTTTTTTTAAAAAAAAAATTCGGTAACGACGACAAGATGCATATCATTAATACATTATTCAACTAGGAAAAGAGGTTTCATCTCTTTTATCCTTTTTGTCTCTTGTCTGTCAACACTCCTAAAATCTTTCCCTTTTCAGAAACGTGGACAATTTCCTACTCTTCAGGAACGCCGTAGCATTCGCCAAGACTCTGGGACAACTCTGCCGCTGTCCCAGAAGGGGAAATGAGTTGATTACCCATATTTGATTATTTTTCCATTGCTGGGTTTGGAACTCAGAGGGCCGGTCTAAGGCTAGCGCCAGACTGTAATTAAATCAAAACTAAGGCTACAAATAACCAAATATAGAACAATACATACTCACCACTGCTGGAACAAAAGTAGGGCGACTCCCCGTCAGCGCTTCTTGTTTACGTCTGGCCACAGGGTTAAGCAAATGCGTCGTCATCAGTCTCACTGAATCCTGTGGTTGCGACATCTACTGCAGTAGCTAATCCAGGTCTGTGCAAGTGTGTGTATATATGTGTAATTGTGTGTATTTATATGTATTTATATAAATATACAAATAGATGTTATATACATACCATATATAAACGCAATATATAACTATCCTTCCGACCTGGCCCTCGAACCTAGGTCACTCCGGGTATGCGACCGGAGGGCAGTACTAAACGAACCATGCCACTAAAAGGAGTGTGCAAACTAGGATATAACAGCCTCCATAAACATACCTCCCCAATCTACCACTCCCGTTGGGCACGGTGGAAATTGATTTAGAAATCAAACCGAAGTCAGATATCCGAGTATTATATAGAAAGATATGAAAGATATATACCTCAGGTTATACTGACTTCCGGTTTCGAATTTCTAATCAATTCCACGAGTGCCCACGGGGAAGTGTGTGTAAAACCTCGCTATCTTACTATGTATGAGTAGATAGGTAATGTCTATGGAGATAGTTAGATACTAGTTGCACACTCCTTGTAGTGGGTCGCTGTGGACATGTTGTTAGTCACTGGCCTCCGGAGTGACCTAGGTTCGAGGCCAAGTCAGGGAGGATTGTATCATCCTATACATATGCGATATTGCATTATTCCATCTTTCATAAACGCATAGTATACGTTTTATATATGTATCTATACAAATAGGCAATATATAATATATACAATATGCATATATATGCATACATATACATGCATATAGAGTGTGTCTTGCTTGTGTGTTGTGCATGTTTGTGTGTTGTTTGCGGTGTACGTGTGTATATCTGTAGCGCGCGCCCCCCGTTGTGTATATATATGCACATATATAAATAATACATATATATACATACAATACACAATTATACCACGCACACATACAGACACATACACCACGTAAAACACATGTAGTGTTGTGCGTATGTGTGCTGTGTGTGTATTGTATATGAAATATCTAGACAATGGTCATATATATGTATATACCATATACATATAATCACCACATATATATGTCTGTGTGTACGTGCGTGTGTGTGTTTATATATATGTATGTGTGGTTATGTTTAATAATTGTGTGTTTATATACATTATTATACATAGATTTCTATCATGAATAATATATATGCATATATACAATTATATATCATATACCTACTTATCTATCTATCTCTTATATATATATTTATGTATATTATACGTGATGTGTGTGTTGTGTATACATATAAAATACGTACAATATACTTAATATATGCATATATACAGGTTACACATGGAAATATGTGTGCTATACAATATATTGAATTACCTATATAGCTATATATATACAATGTTATGTATGTACACACACATTTAATATCTAGTATACATGTATGTATATATACACACATATTATTATTATTATCATTATGTATATATTTTTATGTGATATATATATATATATATATATATATATATATACTATATATATATATAGTTTAATGAATTAATCACTAGTACACCAACCTGTCTACCTGTTTATCTTTTCTCATGATTTTCGGAGATTTTTATTTTATATTTCATGTAAGTATTAATAAGATTACAATTATCTATAATGCAAATATTAGCAAAATAGTATCCGGTATAAATGGGTTAGAAAAGCAATAGCAGTTTTTCTCGAAAAATCCTGGGAATGGGGACGAGAGGGCCATTATACATACACAATACATACATAGATATAAATATATATACATAAACTTATAGTGGACAAGACATAGGCCCTGTGTTCAGTGTAGGTTAACATCCATGCTTCAATTCATCAGTATAGATATTATTATGTTAAAACTGATATTATTACAGAAAACGGGCAAACTAATGGAACCAGAATTTCATATATGGAGACCTAGATTAGTGCTGATTGTTTTGGTGTACCATGAAGACTTTGTTCCCATAATTCTATCTCACGAAGCCCCCCACCACCCCCACCCCACCGCATATGTTGTAACACGGCATCAACTTCTTTATATATGTAGACCTTGATTACAAAACTAATTGATTTGTTGTACTATGCAAACCGGCCTCTCAATAATGAAGAGACATTTATGGTCACCTGAGAAAGTGTGTCTAATTATTGTGTTTTCTCTATCAAAAAAGCCTGCCA